GAGAGGCTGTTGCCATATTCCTGGTGAAGATTGATTGGGGCCTGAATTGGTGTGGCAGCTGAATGAGTAGAGAGGAAAAGTCAGAGGTCAAAGATGTTGTGGAGATATCAACAACAATCTTGGCAACTGAGGAGCTCTATTGGGTAAGAATGAAGCTTTGGGGACAGTGGCTACAGAATGTAACCTGATTTTGCCCATGCCCACAAAGAGCAAAGAGACTTTGGGGAGGAAACTGACCTTTGAGACAGGCAGGTTTACCCATTTTTCTAAGATTCATGTTTTCCATGACTGAGAGAACAAGAGTTTAGAGACAGAAGATGGGTGATAATCCAGCAAAAGGGAATGAGAAAGAGCAGCCAGTTAAGTAGAAGAAAGAAGAGAGAGACAGAGACAGAGAGAAAGACAGAGAGAGAGAGAGAGAGAGAGAGAGAGAGAGAGAGAGAGAGAGAGAGCAAAGTGGCTAAAATCCAGAGAGAAGAGAGTATCCAAAGGAGAGATTAGTCCATAATGTCAAATGCCACAAAGGAGGAGGATTCAGAAAGTCTGTTAGCTTTGGCAGTTAAGGGATATTTATAGGCTGTAGGGAGGGAACCTGAAGATTTGGAGAGACTAAAGATGAAACAAAGAGAAGGAAAGTGAGAACCATCTCCCAGAGGCTACAATAGAGGTATGGAATCAAAGAAATGAGAGAGGGGTGGTAAAGTTGGCCTTTTGAGAAGGGCCATCTCTTCATCAGAGACCAGAATAAAGGAGAAGAGATCATGGGATGATGAAGAGGTCTTGAGATGTAGAGGAGGGAAGAAGTAAATGTCTTTGTTTTCTCAGTCACTTACGATGCCAGGTCTTCTGCTGAAAAGGAGTGAGGTGGTGGAAGGCTTGAAGAGAGAAGAGAAGGCTTGGAATTGTCTTAGAAAGATGGGAATCATTTCTAGAGGTATAAAAGGATAGTGTTGTTGCAGTTAGAGCCAAGATGAGGTCTTGTTCTACCAGATTTGTGACTCCACTGGTAAGAAGAGCCCCTCTCCCCATGCAGTTCAGCACCTGCTTTGTTATGAACAGTCTCTGAAGGCTGCTTGGGGCACTCAAAGGAGACTTGTTTAGGGTCACACGGCCAGTATATTTCAGAGCTCCCTATACCATAAAACCTCTTGAGATTAGATAATATAAATGTGTTGCAGACCCAGGCAGCTTGACTGCATGATTTTGTCCTGCTCTGTTCAAGAACAGGTGCAGAGAAGACAGATGGTGAGTGTTATGCAGGCATGAGCCATCAATTAGTTATAGGACAAGGGGGCAGGGGATGAAAAGAGTAGAGAAGGATCTAGAGTTGAACTCTAGATAGGGTATGAAAATTGGAAAGAGAGCAAAAGGAAGCCAGAGCAAAAGCAATGATGAGTACTGAGTATGGAAGGACTGGAAGTAATGATGAGGGTGTTTTCATCCTCATCAAGCTCTTTTAGGGCTAGAAGAAATGAGTTATAGGGAGAAATGGAATACAAAGAGATTTCAGGCACAAAAAGGAATTACAAAAACTTTGATTTCTACAAGAAGTGTGGTGCCCTGCTGGAAGGAGTCATGGGTCTGTTGTCAAAGGACTTTAGTTCAAATCCTACCTCAGAGTAGCTACATGCCACTGTGCATAGAGTGCTGAACCTGGATTCTGCCAACTCTGTGACCCCTGGACCAGTCACTTAGCCTCTGTGAGCCTCAGTTTCCTCATTTGTGAAATGGGGATAATAATAATAATAGCACCAACCTCACAGGATTGTGGGGAATGTGTAAGCTAAAACAGCCTTAAAGTTCTGTGTGAATGCTATTACTACTGGTTGTGTGATCTTGGGCAAGCCTGGACCTCAGTAATTTTTTACCTGAAAAAGGATAGAACTGAACTAAAAACTATGATCCCAGGTGGAACACTTGTGGGAAGGACATCTAGCTAGATAGATCAGTAAAGCATGTGTTTACACCAGCATTGCTTTGTGCCTGGCACAATGCTAACTGCTGGGGATACAAATAGGACCCCTCAAGGAGCTTACATTCTAATTAGGGAAAACAACACAAAAGAGGGAAGCTGAAGGCCTGGGCAGGGACAAGAAAAGGTCTGACCCTTCAGAGCCTCAGAAAATAAAAAAGAGAATGTGAGGGCTGAGGGGGAGAGGGTAGTGAGGATCTTAGATCCCAGAATGGAAGAGGTGGTGGGATCTTAGAATCCAGAATGTGAGAGGTGGGAGGGATCTTAGAACCCAGAATGTGAGAGGTGGGGAGATCTTAGAAACTAGAATGTGACAGCAAGGATGAATCTAAGAACCCAGAATGTGAGAGGTGGGAGGAATCTCAGAACCTAGAATGTCAGAGGTGGGAGGGATCTCAGAATTTAGAATGTCAGAGG